GTATCGCACAAGTCCCTAGATTGAGGGATATAGGGATACAGGAGGTAACGAAGAGGAGAACAGAAGTGGGGAGCCTCTACCAACTACAGGCCTCCTTATATACTATGGGGTACCGACCGTATTAGGAAGGGAAAGGTAACCGACCAAAGTGGGGAGGTATGAGGAGACTGTAAAGGAACGCGTCTGGTCGAGGCTGGGCCCAGTATAGTACAAGACCTAGGTCAGGGTCCTGTGACATAACCGAAAAGGGATAGAGACGGGACAGGGTCCTGAGTCTAGGTCAGGGTCGGGCAATATAACCGAAAAGGGAAAGGGGCGCGACAAGGGTCGGGGTCTGGGTCAGGGTAAAGTAATGTAACCGAAAAGGGAAACGGTCAGGGTCGGACTCAGGGTCCGGTCATATAGACGAAAGGGGAGATATTGAGGGAGAGGACCGGGGCTAGGAACATAGTCGTCAGGGGGCGGAACGGGGGATGATAGTGTACAGGCGGACGACGAGGGAACGGGAAGGTAAGCATAGGTCGCCGGGGACGGGAAGGGGAGTGGAGTGTACACGAGGGCGACGAGAAGGAGTAGTTCAATAACAAAAAGATAGGGGGTGGGGCGTACCAAAGGTAACATTACCCCCGTTTCTAAGCACGATCATCCCGATCGTTCAACTCCAAGTCCGGCTCCGTGAGTGGTGACAAAGGCGCGGGTGGGTACCAGAGCCCGATGCGCAAGCCAGGGTTGTCCGGGCTGAAGTAGCCTCCAGCAATGAAGGTGATTGTGCGGGACGGTGACGGTGCGATGGGTGAGGAGGTGGCGGGGGGCGATGGTGAACGGGACGAAGGGTTAGCAGGGGCGGGGCGGACGGGGCGGAAAGGGTTGGCGTCAAAGGGGGTGTCATGGACGACAGCGGGCGGCGATACGGGGGAGGGGCTGCGCGAACGGAGGACGTCCTCGATGGGTGCGGCGGGTGTGGCAGGGGTGGGTGGAGGAGAGTCGCTGTAGTCGGAGACGTCGAGGATCTCGTCGTCGTAGAAGTTCCCCCATAGGCTGCGATGGACGTCGTGCGCCGACATGTTGTCGTAGAGCCGCACGGCGCGTCCGTTCCGGTACTGACGGACCGACACGGGGATGTTGCGGACGTTGTAGGCGTCCACGAGGTTGTCGGCCGCTTCTCGCCATACGTCGTGGTCGGTGACGCGGGCGGCGGGGTCGCGTGCCTGGATCATCGCCCGAAGGAACCCGAGATATTGGGTCTCCGTGAACCGTCCACTGGGGTGGAGGTTGTCGCCCAAGACGCCGATGAGGTAGGCGTTGTCGACGCCAGGGATTTGCTCCCACCGCTCGTCCCAGGCGTAGCTCCAGAGCTGGACCTCAAGGAGAGCCGTCCCGTTGAGGTGGCCCGAGATACGCCACTCCCAAGGATGTCCGCCGACGTGACGGGTTTCGTCCGGCCCGATCTGCCAGCCGTCCGGGAGTCGCTCGTCGTAGAGGAGGGCCCCTCCGTATGCTGGATAGCCGAAGAGGGGCGTCCGATAGTGGACAGTGGCGGGACCCAGAGCAGGGGTGGGGTAGGGGGGGGTGCGGGGTCTGGGTTGGCGGAGCGGGGGGGTTGGAGGGGCAGGGGGCGCGGACAGGGCGTCGGGGTCGGTGGCGTCGGTAAGGTTGCCTCCGCTGATGGTGCCGAGGACCGTTCGGACGGTTGAGGTCGGCCACTCCAGGGGCGACGCGGGGTCGACGACCATGGTGAACGGGGGTTCGTTCTCGTTGACGGGGCTCGGGGAGCGGGGGGTGGGGCTGGGAGAGCGGGGAGAGGGGCGTGTACGGGACGGAGGGGGCGCGCCGGAGCGTAGGCGATCGGGCATCGGGCGGAGGTGCTGCAGTGTTGGGGAAGGGGAGTCGCGGGGTGGAGGAGAGCGGCGCGAAGGTTGTATAGGGGAGGACCACTCCATGTCGGCCTCGTCCATGGGGACGTCCCCCCAGTTAGTGTTGCTCCAGTCGACGTTGGTGTCGCCCCATCCGGAGACGTCAGCCGCGTTCCCCCATTCCGGGGCGGGCAGAGGCGGGGTGGGGGGAATAGGTGAGGCGGCGTGGCTGTCGTTGTTGGTGATGACGCGCTCCAGCCAGGTCCGCTCGCGGTCGCGGTCAACCTGCTCTATGTGGTTGACGAGGTCAGCGATGAGGAAAAGATGATGAGGGGCGCAAACGATATCTAAAGCGTGGTCGGACATGGCGATCGTCGTGGCCCGCAGCTGGGAGACAGTGTCATAGGCCCGTCGTTGGCCAGACGGGTCGGTGATCTCGCCGACGTCCCAGTCGAGGGTCCGGAGATGGGTGAGGGTGACGACCGACTCGCCATAGATGGCCCAGGCGTGACTGGCGGGCGGGACGTCCCGGAATCGCCATTCCAGGACGTTGCGCAATTCTGGGCTGGGTTGGAGGAGGAGCCACCCAACGTATTGACGTTGGGAGGTCTGGCCGTATCCAGCGATTTCATTGCCGGGTAGGTGGAGGAAGGAAAGGTGGAAGTCGTGGTCGAGGAACCACTGAGGGGTGGGGACGTCTTCGGGGGCAGCGCGGTAGGTAGAGGCGAGTTGGGGCATGGTGTTGATTGGCAGGAGAGAGGAGTGGGTTGGGGTCGTTCCCTAGAGTCGCTGTTGCTTCTTGTACTTGGTGAGGAGCTTCGGCGCATTAGTCATCTCCTTCCCGGAAACCCACGAGTTTTCGCTACTAGGCCAGCCCTTCCAAGAGACGAAGTATTGATAGCCTTTCCCACGTTTCCGATGGGCCAAGATGGCCTCGACTTCCCATTCTTCTTCGCCTTCTACGGTCTCCGGAGGCGGTCTGGGGTAGTCTGGCCCGTGTTCCTTGGTGACTCGATAAGGTTTGAGTAGGTTCACATGGAAGACGTCATGGATCTTCCAGGCCTTAGGGAGTTTCAGCCGAACCGTGACTGGACCAGTGATTTCGTCGATCTCGAAGGGTCCTTCCCTTTTCGGGGCTAACTTCCGGTGGGGATAGGGGAGTCTGAGGTTGGTCGATTCGAGGAGGACCCTATCTCCTTTCTTGAACGTGACCGGCTTGGTTCCAGCCCTTCGGGCCATGATCTCCGCTGCTCGGTTGTGCGCGGCTTCCGCGTTGGCTCGGTCTTCGAGGAGTTGCTGGATTCGTTCTTCCGCGCTTGGGTGTGTGGATGGAGAGAGGGAGTTGGGGAATACATCAGGGTTGTAGCCCATGATGAGTTGGAACGGAGACTTGCCGGTGACGGAGTGCTTGCGTTGGTTGTGGCAGAACTCGAAGGCAGGGAGTTTGTCTGACCAGCTGTCCGGGTCATTGAGACAGTAGATGCGCAGGGCTAAGTCGATTTCCTGGTTGACTCGTTCTGTCTGTCCGTCCGTCTGAGGGTGATACGCCGTGGATCGGGAAGTCTTGACTCCTACAAGTCGTTGCAGTTCTTGGAACACCCCGGACGCAAACTGGGGTCCTCGGTCGGATATGATCCTTTGAGGGGCTCCAAACCGTTTGTAGACGTCTCGGAACAGTAGTTCGGCCGCTTCCAAGGCGGTGACGTTGATGGTGCAAGGGGTGATGACTACGCCTTTGGTGGTGTCGTGATCTACTACCACTTGAATGGCGTTGAATCCGTTGGATGGTGGGAGACCCGTGATGTGATCCATGGTGATGACTGAAAACGGCCGCGTGTTCCCTGCGTGGGGGATCGGCATGGCAGGAGCTTTTACGGGGTGAGTGTTAACCTTGGATCCTTGGCAGATGGCGCATCCTTGAACGAATTTGCGGATGAAGTTTTCCATTCCGCCCCAACTGTACTGTCGTGAGACGAGTTCGATGTTCTGATCCTGTCCGGGGTGGCCCATTACTGCTGGGTCGTGATGTATCCGGACAATGTCGCGTCGCAGGTCTTCATTCGGAGGGATGTAGATCTTGCCCTGGTACTTGGCAACGCCATCGTCCAGCTTCCAGTCTTCGGGTTTGCCGTACGGAGGTGGCTTGACGAGGGTTAGACGTCCATGCTGGCTGGTTTGTACCACCTTGGTGTCCTTTCGGGTGGCGTCCTTGATTCGCAGCAGTAGATCATCAGTGACAGCTCGAATAAATACTCCGTCATTTAAGACGACAACGTCCTCGTTGTCATGCTTTCCGTTCACATGGTCGGGGCGGCGGGACAGGGCGTCGGCTTGGGTCAAGGTCTTCCCGGCATGATGGTGGATTTCGAAGTGAAACTGGCCTAGGAACGCACTCCATCGGGCCTGGCGTCGGGTGAGCTTCTGTGCGGACCGCCAGTAGGTGAGGTTCTTGTGGTCCGAGATGACCTGGATGACGTGGGGGGATCCTTCAAGGTAGTGCTGCCAGGTCTCGAAAGCGCGGACCACTGCGAGGAGCTCCTTGTCGTAGATCTGATAGTTGCGTTCCGCAGGCGAGAGGGCATGAGATAGGTACGCTACCGGCATCCAGTCTTGGTTGGCGTTCCGTTGGCGGAGGACGGCCCCGGTGGCGAACATAGAGGCGTCACATTCAATTTGG